ACCAGTTCTGGACTAATCTATCAATTACAAATATTGAATATACTGATATCTTAACAGATATTATAAATGAATCAGACTACTTTCTAATAACCCTTGAAATTTCTATCATTACCAACAAGTCTAAACTACGTAAACAAAAAAAAAGAAGATGCTTTCTATAGAAAAACTGCACAGAACAAATAATTCAAGATTATGACAACCAAACCTCTCGAAACCTACAACGTATCCTCTCTAAAATCCAAACAATTACAAATTAAAATCAACTTAATCTTATCTGGAACCAAAAATACAAGGCTTTAAGGGTAGGGTATCTCGTATAATTAATTTAATCATCAAATTTTTTTGTGTAACCAAAAAATCATATGTTATAAAAATAGAATTTAACACGTGATATTGCAGGTTATTTTATTAAAGCTGATTTAGTATAAATATTTCAATTCAAGTTTTCTCGATAATTTACATATTTCGAAGATATAAAAATGAATACCTTTGATTTCTCTTCCTTTTTTTTTTTTTTGCTTTTTTTTTTTATACACGCTAAAAAGCTATTCATTGTCTACTAACTTTCAACCATAGGTTCCAATTATCTTGTCTAATTTTCTCTTCAGCATTCTCATGAATGCCAATAATACTATAGCTATAGACTAATATCAATGATTCCTGTGTTCAAAATTTCAATTCAACTTTTTGTTAAATTAAACTTTTGACTATCAAAATATCTATTAAATAAAAAACATTCTGGCGGGTTTGAATGTAGCCAGTGGGGCTTTCATATCCATCAACAGTTTTGAGTTGAAAATCACGCACATTAGCATTATTTGCTTTCATAAATATGTCCACAATATCCTTTCTTTTTATGAACTTGTAATTCATATTTTCGTTAGTTACTCTATCTAACAATTTTTTTAGAATTCTAATAATTCACATGGCATCATCACTGACATTATGGCAAATAGGTTGATCTTGCAGATACCATTTGCAATTATCACATTGGTAGCACTATGTAATATCATTGTCACCATTTCAAAGATATGGTCTTTATGTTAGTTGTTGTCTGCATTCATATTGATTCTCACAGAATAATATCATTTCAAATATATTTTTTATTTCTTCATCCAAATATAAATGGCGAGTTAAAATTCTTGTCCTTTCTTCAGGATCTGTTTCATCATTTATAGAGTGTGGAACATTATCCATGCTGAAGGTATATATTATAAAGTTTAAATTTTATATTTGATATTTCAAAAGTTACTATAGAGTGCTGTATTCAATATCTAGGTACTGTGAAAAAGAGAGTACAATTATCTTTTTAATAAATAAGATAAGAAAAATATTATTATTGATCTTTTTTTCATATTAAGATTATAGAAAAATAGCTTTGTTTTAAAAGAATTTGTTCTTTTACAAACCATATATATTTGCATTTCTACTTTACTATATACTTTGAATACTGAATACATGCTCTACAATACTAACAAATTATATTACCTTTCAATTTCATTATGTAATATAATCAATAGAGTCTGGATATCTAAACATGTATAAAGTATTACTTGCTTTGCTGGCATACGATCACGCCCTGCTCTCCTGATTTCTTGAACAAAATTATCTAATGATATAGAAAATGTAATATGAAGAACTAATCTGACATCATTAATGTTTATGCCCATTCCAAATGCATTCGTTGCCACCATATATTTTAATTTTTTTTCTTTCCAAAACAGAATAGATTGTGATTTTTGAGTTGTTATCATTTTTCTATGATATTTTCCAATTTCAGATTGATTAAACTGTTCTAATAATATTTTTTCTATTCAATCACAATCTGAAGGTGTAGCACAATATATAATAGCACGTCCCTGAGATACTATATTTAGAATTTCAAAAATTTTTTCTTTGAATAGCTCATTCCTTCCAGGTTTAGATTGAACTTCTATTTCAATTTCTGGTCAATGAACACTAGTTCTACGAATAATATTTAATGAGGGTCGGTATAAAATAGTTAGCAATAGCAATAGTGCTGAGAGAAATTCACTTGCCAGAGAATTTAATTTACTCCAATCATCTCTGCCAAAGCAAATAAGCGAATAATCCCATGGTTAGAATAGCATTTTTTTTTTTTTTTTTTTTTTTTGTAGCTTACCTAAAATATCTAAAATTCAAAACACAATGGGCCTCATCTATTACAAATTGTAAGCCCTGACTTTTTTCTATACTTTTTAATATTTTTCGAAATAAAAAATTTTTGACATATTTTTCAGCTGTTACAAATAATACACAAATAATATTTGATGCAATTTCTGCGAATATTTTTTCTACAATTGCAGGAGGTTGATCTGAAGCACCAAAGAGTATAGTAGCTGGTATGCCTTGTTTAACCAGGTCATGCTAAATTTAAAGATATGGGCATAAAATTTTTTTTTTTTTAATAATTTTACTAAATATTTACCATTTGATCATCCATTAAAGATTTCATAGATGTGAAGACTACTGTTAATCGTGCAGATAAGATGCTAGCTACTGAATATATTAAAGATTTTTCACCACCAGTTCTTAAAATAACTAAAGTATCTTGACTAGAGGTAAAAGATTGAATACTTTCTCTTTGAATTTCACGATAACTTTGTAGTTCAAATATCTCATTTAATGCAGTATCAATAAGTGATTCATTTGTTATATTATTTATAATGTATTATTTTTAAAATTAATATTTGGGATAAAATTATTCAAGTTATGATGCGAATAAAAACCACAAAGAAGACAAAGTCCAGTTGCAAAACGACATTCAAAACAATGACACCCATCACATAAAAATGCACTACCAAAGTTTTTAATTATATTTGCAAATGACGGAATATAAGTATGGTTTTGAATACTATCTTGTATACAACGGCTATAAGGAACCAAGTCCTAAAGAATATCAAATATCAATAATACTTTAATTTTTAGTATTTAAATAATTACATTTTATTTTATTAACCTGATTAAAATTGAATGCTGTCAGGTTAGTTTTTTAATCTATTATCTTTTTTGCACGTTGTTGATTTCTTTCTTCAATTGCAGCTAAATTACATTGATGTTTTGTTTCTCTTTCTTTCCAAATTTTTAAAATATTAGTATGATCATTTTTTGAAAATTCTGGAAGATTGGCAGCTTCTCGACTAATACGAAGGGTTTCCATTAATCCATCATTATTATAAATTACTGCTAAAGCATGACGAGTAGCAAAAGATTTATGATAATTTGTTTTTTGTCAGTATAGTTTAATTTTATGCGATTTAAAGCTTCATTAATGCTAATTTGAATAGTAGTTATAAGACTTTGTTTTTCTTTGAGTTCCATAATTTTATGAAGAAATTTTAATAACTGCTCTTTTTGATTTTTATTATATAATTTTAAATTAGGTGTTTCTAATTCTATATTTGAATTTGTGCTAACCCAGCACACTTCTGGCCAACAATCTGAGTGGTTATCAGAAAGGTGCACTATTACTCCTTCAGTTTGCATAACAAAGAGATCATTATCAATACTAGGATTTTGACATCGAGCAATAGCTACGTAAACACATTTGTTATAGTATTTCATAATTGATTGTTCAAATAATTTTCATTTATGATCAGCAACTATAAAGGTAATTTATTTTAAATTTTAATAATATTGAATATGGTTTAGCAATGTAAATAACTATTTACCTATCTTATTTCTAACAAGCTTCGCTTTATGTTTTAAATCTGCAAAAATTTTATAAACGATTTTTTCTCCTTCAAGCGTTTTATTACTATTCAAATCACTGTCTATACCAATATCTAATACCATTTTATTATTTATAAGAAAGAGAGTAACTTTTTCAATTATTTCGATTAAAATGGCATGCTCCATTTGCTGAGAGCTGCCATCATAATTGCCTTCATTAATAGTTATTTGATTTTCTTTTTTGGTTTTATATATTCGCGGTTTTTCAACAGTATGAAAAGCAATAATTGGACGATGCATAAAACCTAGAATATGTTAGTATATATGTTATATTATTATTCTATTTTAATAAATTCTATTATCTGTAACTTTATAATGCTATAGTTATTTTTTTACAGTATTTTCACGGCAAAATAAAAATTTTTTATAAAAATAAAATTTGCCATAAAAATATCAATTGTAAAGATTAGCTATATAATATTAGTAAAGTTACAGATTTATATTTAAAAAACTACATAATAAATTTTAATATTTATTTACCTTCTAAATATTCATTAAATATAAGTTTACCGCTTGCTTGTAAAGCTTCACGAACATGACTCCAAGCACAATCGAAACTTCCTTCTACTATATATTTATTAGTTTTTTTAATGATTCAATTGCAGCATTTAATCCCATTTCAGCACTAGCTTTAGTACTTTCAATAATACTATGGTGCATTTTATTTTGGTAATTAAAATATTGCTTATAACCACTTTGGCGTGTAATTCCACAATATGCTAATATTGTTCTTAATTCTTCTCTATTTACTCCAGCAGCTAATCTAGCACCCGCGACAGCTTGAGAAAAACCCATATTTTGTAATTCATTTTGATGTATAGTTGTTAATTGATATATGCAACAGGTCACTATAATTTTGATTGAGAATCCGGTAACTTTAATTTGATATTTTCGTCATTTAATTTCTATTGATGCGCATATTTAACAAGGTTGATTTATAATTAATTAAGAAATATGTTAGTACTAACGAATAGTGAGGAGTCTAATTTGCCTTCTGTAGTAAGAGTATTAATAATTTTTGATGCACTTAGATTTAATTCGTCAGTGTTACTTATTTCAGATTCGTTACTATATAAAAAAAGTATTATTTATTATATATTTAATATTGTATATATGTATATACGTATTCTTTTAACTAACCTTGATGAATCAAACCTATTTTCTAATTGATTTTGTAAGTTTTTAATATTTTCTTGTGATAGACGAAGTTTTTTAGTAAGAGCTTGACATTGTGCTTCAGTATCAACAAGTTTAATCGCCATTGCTTGAACAATTTCAGGTGCAACGTTTTGCCATCCTTCAGTTTTAACAGACAATTCATTTTTAATTATTGTTTCATTAGTTACATTATTTTTTAGTTCATTTTGTAGTTCTGTTAATTTTCATTTAATTGAATCACAAAATTTGTTTTACTTTTTTTCAGCATTATAGATTATATGTGCATTTAAAAAAATGTCAGGATATTTATTGTTTACAAATCCCCGAAGCCATTGAACATTTTCTGTACATGTTAGCTCCATTAAGTCGGTCATAGAAATTTCACCTCTGTAATTAATCATTTTATCATCTTTAATATATTTTTGTAAACTAGCTAATAAATCAGGTAAACAATTTGATGCAATTGGTTCTCGAAAATTATCATTTATACCAAAATCGGTCCATCAATAAAGAATAGTTTTATTAATATTACACCATTCAAGACATATATAAAAATAATGTTCTCCAAGATGTGTATATATACCATATCCTGGAATTAAAGGAACATAAACTCTATCATTTTTGTCTGGTTCAATATTCGTAACTTTTAATAATAAATAAAGTTCTAATGATTTTTCTAAACTATTGTTCAAAAATTGATTCTCTGGTATTAAGGTAAGCAAACTCAGGTCTTCACATACAAATATAGATCGTTTAGGTCGCAAATATTTGTGACGGTGATTATTTGAAAGTAACAAGTTATTGGGATATTTGTGTTGGTTCTATAAAATTAAAAAATATACATTAGATTGCAAGATCTTGAAGATCTAAAAATAGATATTATGTAAAATTGCTTTATTTAAAACAGCTCATAGACAACTTTTATTTATACTTACTTACCATAATATATAACAATAATAAAAGTTATTCGTAGACAATGAATCTTACTATTTACAATGTATCTTTAAAAAAGTCAGTGCTGATATTAAAAAATAGTAACAATAGGCAACAGAATACCCCAATGAGCAACTTCGTTATGAAAGTTGGCTTATATAAAACTTGTTATATTGTGTACTAAACATTAAATAAAATATCTTTAGCAATATATAGGCTTCATGACAAACAAAACTAAGAACTTTTTTCAAGAGGAGTGTTATTGGTTAAAATTTTGGCTTTGTCACATGTTTAAAATTGTTAGTTGAAAAGGATCATCATTAATACATCATATGTGTAACATTTAGTAAGATACCCTATCCTTAATTAAAGCAGCAAACAAACATATTCTATACAAAAAAATCAAAACAATCAAAGAAATCCAAGACTCTTCTCCCTC